GTCCCCAAGGCTGTAGCATTGTGTGGGGTTGATGTATCATTCAGGCGGTGTTAGCGGGGTTACATACGTACCGGCAAAGGCTCAAAGTTGGCATCCACCAGGTGATAGGTCCCTGCCCCGAAGAAAACCTGTCTCATCACCACATCAATCCCCCGCCTGGCTGAAAGCCCAAGTTTGTCCAACCACCTGCCAAAGAAAATGAGGCAAACAACATGCAGATGAAATTGCTGACCTCAACTGGACACCGTTGCCCCTCTCCAACCAGCTCGGTAAGTAGGAAAACAAGAATTAGGTCATGATGCTGACTTCCTTAAAATCACACAACTAATTTCAATTCAAGCCTTGTATTGAATGTCTTAAAAAATAATTTCAGACCCCCTCTGGAGGTCCGAGTTGGTGGGAACGGTTGCTCCACTCCCCCGTTTGCAGGCGCTGGAAGCCAGGAGTGGCAGTGGATGCTCCTGAACTGACCAAGGGCCTGAAGTCTGAAAGAAATCATCACAGCAACGACAGGGTTGCCTGCCATTACCGAGCTTTGACTTGCTGACCCAACAGGCCCTGATGAAAAGATCATCATGCCTTATAGCAAGGAAAAAAATACATTGCAACCATGTTTTTGGTTAATTTTCAAAGTGTGAACTGCACATTCCCATGCAATTTTATCTCGCTGAATCTACAAACTGAACAAAGTGCTACGAAAAGCCTGACTTCTTTTATTTCAGCAAAACACTACAACTGGAGTCCTTAGAGAAAATTATTTTCATGACTAAATTTCCCTTTGGTTAGTTATTTTGTGGTGGTCGAAAGGTGACATCGGAAAAGAACACCCATCTCATGAATGACTTTCCATCCTCACAAAAAGTTGGAGTTAGCATTGCAGATTCGAGGGCAGAAATACAACTTTCTCACATTTCTCATCCCCCATTTCGCATAGGAATCTGCTATTACCTGAGCCTACATCCGACCTCAAGCATGGGAGAAGCACACCGGGAGCGGTGGGACAGTGATGATCCTCAACCCACCCATTGCCTGCGCTCTCCAGGAAGCCTGAGGGAGACGTTCCTCCTGTGGGGCATGTACACGACCCCCTTCAGCTGGTAAAACGTGTAATTTCCCCACACCTCTGACACGGTACTCACATAAAACCAGCAATGTAAGTGTTGGACAGCCTGGGAGCTCCCCCTCCATAGGCAGAGCTCGTCTCTCCTAGCCAGACCTTCTTGTCGGGCACGGTCCCGTCAACAATCTGGCCGGGAAGAGAGAGACAAGAGTTAAGTTTTTTGGCTACTGAAATAACGAGCAATCAAAATTTTGTGCTTTAGCCAAATGCTTACATATGATGTTTGCATTTAAGGGCTAACAGCGACACAGGCGGGATGTCACAGGAATTTTGGTTAAAAGAACTAGAAGCAGATTTACTTTCCTAGTCCAAAAAAAAAAAAAAAAATCACGTCTACACACGTAGAATGAGGCAAACGCTGGTAAAAGGCAGGTCCTGTTAAGTCTGCTCACGTTAAGTAGTGGTATACTCTTAAGTTATACCATTTTCAAGATCTTAAACTACAAAGAAATTGGGGCAAGGATGACCATAAATGACATCCCTGAGTAACGACTCCATCGCTAAATGAGAATGTTGTAGGTTTGTGATGTGTCCGGCACCATGCATGGCAAACTATTGCAGCTCATTTATTATTAGTATTGTTCATTTTTTTTGTTTGATTGTTTAATTTACGAGAGCAGCACCCAAGCTTTCAGGCTCCCTGTTTATCGCTAGTGAGAAATTGTACTTTATTCCGGATTCTCTGCTAACCCCCTGGAAATGGAACGTAGGAATGATTGAACAGGACAAGGCACCTCCAGGACTTCGCGGACAGCTGTGGCGAAGGTATCCAGCACTTCAGGGCTCAAGAAATCCGCCCTCGTTGCACTTCGTCCGTTCACATAGTAACTGGAAATGGGGGAAAAAAAAACAAAACAAACCCTCAGCCAAAATTAAGAAAAAATACCGCCAGTGGTACAAAACACCACCAAAAGTACTCAGCTGCTTGATACATTTAGCCACAGCATTATTTTTCTGTGCAGTTCTTTTTCTTTTTTTGTTTTCCAAATGTGTAGGTATGTTGTTTGTATTTACGGGACTATCAGGTATAATTACCTTGATGGAGGCAGGGTATCACAGAAATTTTATCCAACAGAAGTAGTGGGGGTTTTTTGCATCTACTAATTTAGAATGAGGAAACCATCTCTGAATAAGAGCCAGCTTCTGTAAATCTTCTCTTGCTGAGGAGTCTGACACTCTTATGTGATTACTTGCTTTACTTGTATCAAGTTTTATATTAAAAATACCAGATCCCACCTTCTGTCTCTCTGTCGGAATATTTTGGCAATCTGGTGGGGAACAGGATGGAGGCATCCCTACGGGATGGAGGTTGCCCTCCACCATAAGCAGAAGTCTGGTTTGTCCGAATAAGGAACGGGAAACTGGAATCCCTGTGGGTTTTTTTTGCATTTCAGCACGTTACCACTCGGTCCTACCAGAAGTAGCTGAAGTCTTCCAGCCTCAAGAGGAAGCTAAAACCCAATAATCCTAAATTAGTAAAGAAAATAATGCATGCTCACTTAAAGCAAAGGCGGCCTCAGGGCAAGAGCAGCCCAGGAAGGGAAGAGGACATGTTTTATGCTTTGCTAGCAGCTCAAAACACATAGCTAAGGCACAGGTGTATACATCTACATGTAATATAAGCATGTGCATCTTTTCCCACTGTTACCTGACTGCTGCATGTCACCGTCCTGCATTTGACTTCGGAAGGAAAACCACCTTCGCATGGAAATCGCTTTCAAAGACGTGGAGTTCACGGCAGGTGCCCCGGGGCTGACTTACCCCGCTGCAGAGCCCAGCACTTTACACCTGCCTTTAAACCTGTCAGCCACGGCACGAGAGCCAGGGGCTGGGACGGTGCCGGTGCGGTTTGCCTGACTCGGAGAGCAAACGTAAGGGAGCAGGAGAAGCTGCGAGCACTTCTTTATGGGTAAGGGTCAGCCAGACCTGCAAGGTTTTTCCTTTCTATCAAACAGACGTAAACAGAGAAAAAAGGCAGCCCGTAAAGCTAAGAGGGCTTCTGCTGCATTTTTCACGAGGAGTTGGGTGCGTTTGCCAGCAGGGTCATCAGTGACTCCCAGAATTTGCTTTTAGGGAGCACAGCTTTCACTCAAGGAGATTCAGCCTTTCTAAAGCCAAGGAGAGCACCAAGGTCAGGGGTACTGACTCCGTTTCAAAGCCCAGCCACCCACAGGTTGTTTAAAACCTTATGTGAAAAACCTTCTGCTCTTGCAGAAGTCCAGCAGAGGCATCTCTGCCGAGTTAAGTCTGAGCTACCTTCTCCTTTTATACAACACCCCCTGCTTCCCACGGGAAAGTGCATTTTATTTGCAAGGGTTGGCAACGTGGAGCTTTGAGACAACCGGGACCGGTGCTCAGATCTCCCTCGCTTTTGGTACGTGTTGAAACACGACATAGGCAACAAGGCTCAGCTCCTGCGGAAGCTCTCCCCATGCGGGGGAGAGCCGTGACCTACCCCCCTCGTGCTCTTCTGCGAAATAAAGCTGCCGTGCCATCTTTTTTTTCACATCCCACTTCTGTTTTTCTCAGGGCACATATTTAGCAAGCAAAATAACCGCCTCGCACACGTTGCATTCCCCACTGCCGTGCCTACGTTACAAACCCCCGCCACTGCTTTCGGGTCTCTGTACCAAGTCGCCTCTTTGGAGAGTTTTTGCCTTTCTGGAACGCGCTCCCGCGATTCATCTCTTATTCTGAGCAGAGGAGGTTGCAGAGAGGCACCCGAAGAACTGCCAAAAGGGGTAATTTCACCCCCCCTCCCTTCTGCTGAGATGCTCAAATCGACGTTTGGTGAAGAAAACCAGCGATAAGCCGAATGACGATGGTATCCGAGCGGTACTTACTGGTGCCACGTAACAGAGTCGATCGCCTTCCCTCCCGATTTCAGGAAGCTGCAAGCAGAGGGGATGCAGTGGGGAGTGGGGATGTCAGTGGGTACCGGTGATGGGTCACGGCCCCCCACGAGCCACCCTTCCCCTCTCCTCCCGGTTGATGGTGAACTGCTTTGGGGCCACATTTGCGATGGCTTTTAAACGGGCTTTGGGCAGCCCGGCTGCCTCAGCGGGTTGCTGGGAGGCTGAATGAATGCTGGTGTGACACGTGGGGACTTCTAGGGTGAGAAGCCCTGGTTAACCCAGCGCTCAATAAAAAGACGTGCAGATCCCTGCTAGCGGCTTAGTTTCCACTGGTTGAGTATTTCGGCCTTGAGCTCATGCACGCAGGGAAGAGTTCAGTCAGCCCCAGTCAAAAAAAAATAAAATTTCATGTTTCTGATTTAGGAAAAATGCAAAGAATCAGTTCTCCAATAGACTGGATGTATCCATCTGTACATCCTTACTATTGGTTTGGAGCAAAAAGTCCTTAAAACCCTGCCCAGATGCCTCCTCGTGCCCCTTGCATCTGGGTGCAGACGAGGCACCGCTACCCAG